CTTGTCCCTATTACTGCCCTTCTCCAATCTTCCTTCACATTGCTGCCAGAAAGAAAGTGTTTCTAAAATGTAAACCTAGTCAGCATCCTTGCCTAAAAGCCTTCAATGTTCCCAGGAGCCTTTACAAAAAAAAGTCCAAACTACAGAATGGCACACAAAGCCAGCCAACAGTTTAGGCCTACCCATGTTTTCCGCTATCTCTCTCACATCCTACAGGCCAATTCGACCCTATTCTCTTCTCTCATTACACTCTTTCACCCATCTCTCTATGTATGCTGCCCAGAATGCTCTTCATCCAACCTTTTCGCCCAGATACTCAAATCCTTAAGAAAATACCCAGCTTACTTTCCCTCAGAGGCCTTGCCTGCCTTCTTACCTCGGCCACACTGGGTACCACATTACAATAGCATCAGCATGTATTTACATTACAACACTCTCTAGAACAGGTGCTAACTGTCATGCTACCAATGCTTCCCCCCTTCAACTTAAGACCACAGAGATACAAGGACAGTGATCTTTGTTTCCTCAGCTCTTTGCCTACTACCTGGTTCAGAATACAAGTTCAATAGATATTTATTGATGAACACACAAGTCCTCCAAATAACTCCCCCAACACTGGGAAATTAGCAAGGCAGGGTAGAACTGAAAGCTTCCATGGTAACTCATGCACTCAGAAGGCTGAGGCAAGAAAATAGCTACAAGTTCCAGGCCAGCCTGAGCTGCAGAGTAACAGACCAACATGAACCAGGTAGCTACAGAAGGAAACCCTGTCTCAAAGCAAACAAACAAACAAAAAAAGGCAAAATAGAAGGTTTAATTGGGAACTTGGTGGGTTCTTATATAATTCTTGTCAGGCATTTATTGTTAAAATCATTACAAGAAAGGTTGGTAGGAGAATGGGTAGACCATTATCCTAGTTTTCTATTGCTGTGATAAAATAAAAATAAATAAATAAATAAAAATTAAAAATTAAAAAAAAAAAAAAACATGACCAAAAGCAACTTGGAGAGGAAACAGTTTATTTGGCTGACAGGTTCCAGTCAAATAAATATGGTCCATTAATATGCCAATACAGACCATCATCAAGGGAAGCCAAGGCAGGAACCTGGAGGCAGGAACTGAAGCAGAGGCCGCAGAGGAACTCTGCTTACTGGCTTGCTCAGCTTGCTTTCCTATACAGTAGGGACCATCAACCCAGGTGGTACTGCCTACGGTAGACTAACCCTCCCACCCCAATCATTAATGAAGAAATGACCCACAGCCATGCCTACAGGCCAATCTAATGGAGGCATTTTCCCAACTGGGGTTTCCTCTTCCCAGGAGGCTCTATCTTGCATCAAGCTAACTAAAAAGAGGAGGAGCAGGAGGAGGAGGAAAAGAACCAACATAACTAGTATCATGGGACACCAGTATTTGATAACTTAAATGAGAAGAAGAGGTTAAACATGACGGGTTTAAATACACAGGCCTATCTTACAAATTCAGGAGTCAAATTCTTTTAAAACATGATGCTTATAGAGAAAGAGAAGTTTCTTTCTAAAGAGGCCCTGGGATGAGGATTAATTCTTTTTTTCTCTTTCTTTCTTTCTTTCTTTCTTTCTTTCTTTCTTTCCTTCTTTCCTTCCTTTTTATTTATTTTTTAATGTGTTTGGATATTTTGCCTGCGTGTATGTATGTTTATCATCACTTGTATGTCTAGTGCCTGAGGAGTCCACAAGAGTGTCAGATACCCTGGAACTGGAGTTAGAGATGGTTGTGAACCACAATGTGAGTGTGCTGGGAATAGAACATGGTTTTTCCGGAAGAGCAGTGAGTGCTCTTAACTGCTAAGCCATCTCTCCAGTCCCTAATTCTTACTTTTGAAGGCAAACTCTTATAGGAAACCATAAGCAACATTAGTATCTAAATGTAAAGTCAGGGATGGAGAGACAGTGAATGCCTGCTCCTTTTGCAAAGGACCTGAGCTCAGTTCCCCACACCTATATCAAATGGCTTACAACTCCCTATAACTCTATCTCCAAGGTAATCCAAAACCCTAATCTCCGTGAGCACTTGAATGTACACATACCCACAGCATAGAGACATACACGCAATTTAAAATAATAAAAAAATAAATCTTATTGTCTTTTAAAATTCCTTAAAAGTAGTCAGTATACCTGCCCCAAAGTTCTCTGATGTCTTTGTTTTTTTCTGTCTGTCTCTCTTTGTGTTGGGGGGGGGGGGGCTTGAACTCATAGAAAACTCATAGAAATTCACCTGCTTCTGCCTCCTGAGTGCTGGGATTCAAGGCATGTGCCATCAGGGCCAATCCCCCCCCCACACACACACACCTTTCTCTCTCAATTTACTTTTAGAGTATGTAAATATGTGAGTATCTATGGATGTACACCACACACAGGCCTGGTACCTTTGTTTCAGATGCCCTGGAACTGGAATTACAGGTGCTTGTAAACAGTCTTTCCAGCCTCTCTAACTATCACCTCTTAATCTAGTTTCATGACTCAACTGCAACATCAGCCTCTAGACTCTAGAATCACGGGTGACTGTCTCCTAGACAGTAGAGTCTCTCTCTCATCCATCACTTACATGACATCTCCATCACTCCGGCCCACAGTAAAAGCACAAGCTTTCCCATTCCCATTTGAGCTTCCTCCCTACTGAGTTACCTCTTTCTTTTTTCTCTCTCTGAGTGTCTGTGTGTGTGTGTGTGTGTGTGTGTGTACACACGTGCTTGTGGAAGCCTGGCATCGGGTGTCTTCTTCAATCTCTCCGCCTGACTCACTGAGACAGGATCTCTCACTGATCTGCCAACCAGCTTGCTCCAATGATCCCAACTCTCAATTACAGGCAACCTGTACACATTAGTGCATTGTGGGGATCTGAGGCTGTATCAAGCATCTTCCCCATAGAGCCTTTGGTTTTACTTGTTTCTCCGCTTAGTTGTTTGTGAGTTATGTTTGTTTGTATGTTTGGTTGGTTAGTTGGGATTCTTTATTTATTTGGCTCCTTAGATTTTGGTCTGGTCTGGTCTGGTTTAGTTTGGTTTGAGGAAAGGGTATCACACACCTTAGGCTGGCCTGGAGCTCGCTATGTAGTTAAGGATGACTTAAATTTCTGATTATCTTTCTTCCAACTCCTGAGTGCTGAGATTGCAGGCATTCCTCACAACACTCAGTTTATGAAGCGCTAGGAGGCAAACCCATGGCCTCCTACATGCTAGACAATTACAACTGAGTGAACTATGTCTTATTTTGTTCTGTTGAGGCAGAACTTTTTATCTGGCCTAGGCTGATCTGGAACTCAGTTATGTAGTTCAGTTTTTCCTCAAACTTCGTTACTCCTGCCTCAGTCTCTCTAGTGCTGAGTTGAACCACTACATGAAGTTGGACCATATGCACCAAGATTTTTTTTAAGACAGAGTCTTACTATGCAGCGCAGGCTGGCCTTCAAGCCCTCCCTCCTCAACCCAGTGAAACTGCAGGCATGCACCACCTTGCCCCACATCTACTCCTAATCTTAATCTCATTCTTTCCATGCTTCTAAATGTTCCGCCCATCTCATCTCCCCAATACCACTTGCTCCAACACAGTAGCTCTTATAGGCCCTAACAAAACATGACATACAGTGGGCTTATTCATTGCTGTTGATTGACTAAAAAGCACAGCCAAATAAAATCACTTCCTATGTCTCAATCAACACGCTCCTTTGCATTGAAGACTGTGTGAACTCCAAGAGGCAAACAAGCTTATTCTTTGCTTCAACACAAAGCAATGTTTATCTTTCTGAGCAAAAAATTACTACAAAAACGTATTATAGCAAGACAGAACCCAGCAGTTCAGCTGGCAAAGCCCTGTCCAAAAGATGATGATGACTGACCAATTAATAAACTTGTCTTAGATTACTGGCCAAATCATCGCTGATAATTGGAACATCCCTGATGACTGACACATAGATATACAAAACAAAACAATTTTGAAAACAGAAAAATGCACGCTTATATCCAGAGAGATTTACACTGTAACGAAATTTTATACAGCCAGAACAAGTGGAAGCTATTAACCACAAAACTTTGTCTTTGGCTGGGCACAGTGGTACACACCTATGACCCCAGCACTCAGTGAGGCAGAGGCAAGAAAATCTCTGTGAGTTCGAAGCCGGCCTGGTCTACAGAGTGAGTCCCAGGACAGCCAAGGCTACACAGAGAAACCCTGTCTCAAAAAACCTGAAGACCAAAAAAACTTTGTCTTTGAAAACTCTATATATGCTTTCCCATATGTTATGATTTTCTACATTAAATATCAGAAATAATTGCTTCTGTAAAATGAGCTTTTTTTCATGTATATGTGTATGTGGTATCCATTCAAGTGTGTGTGTGTGTTCACACATATGTGGACAAACTTGTGTACTCAAGTGCCCACCTGTGTGCATGTGGCACCTAGAGATCTGAGGCTGCCACTGGGAGTCCTCTTTAATCATTCTCCACTGTACTCACTGAGGCAGGGTCTCTCAACTGAAGCCAGAGCTCACCAATAAGGCTAGCTAGCCAGCTTGCTCCAGGAATCCCCAGTCTCCACTCTGGAGCACTGGAATTATGTAGGGTACCACCACAGCAGAGTGAGATTTCCAAGGGTCCCAGGGGTTGAACTCTGGTCCTTGTCTTCATGCTTGATGCTTGTGAGGCAAGGCTTTCTACTACCAAGTCATTTCCCCAACCCAAGTTGAACACTTTTTTTAACACTTTTTTAAAGTGAAATTTAATGCACTTTATCTTTAGACAAACTTCATGACATGTTTTGTTTGTTTTTTTTGTTTGTTTGTTTACAAAAACATTGCCTCCACTCCAAATAACTCACAATCAAAATAAAAGTTCAAGATGGCATCAGTCTCATTTGTCCAAAAGTCCTGGTGTTGTATGGATAGTGAGTTATAATGACAGTTATAGTGACGGGCAGAGATTGGATTAAGAGCCCCTGCTTGAGTGCGTAACTTTCTTAACTTATAGACATACTCCCTAATTCGGTCTGGACTGCCGTAAAGACAGGCAGGAAGTGTGGGGCTTTTTATTTTGCATCCTAGTAGAACCACAAACTGTTCAAGTGGAACACTTTTATAGAATATAACTTGAAGGTAGTGATATGACTACCCATTCTCTTAAGAGAAATTCCTGTCAATCAACCATATATCCAAGAAATATACAAAGTCCCTAAGAGAGTGGTGGCTCTACAATCCCAGCCTCAGAGTGGCAGAAGAAGGAGGAGCAATAAGTTCAAGGCCAGCCTAGGCTATATATTGAGACCCTATCTCAAAAGCAAGCAAACAGGGGCTAGAGAGATGGCTCAGAGGTTAAGAGAACTGTCTGCTCTTCCAGAGGTCATGAGTTCAATTCCCAGCAGCCACATGGTGGCTCACAACCATCTAGAATGAGATCTGGTGCCCTCTTCTGGTCCGCAGGCACCCAAGCAAGTAGAATGTTGTGCCAATAATAAATAAATCAATCCTATTAAAAACAAACAAACAAAAGCTCCCAGGATTGTGGCTGGGGCTATAACTCAGTGGTAGGGCACAGGAATGAGACAACCACAAAAACAGAACCCATATCACTTCACTACAGAGCACTGTTTCACTAAGGAGACAATCCTAAAAGGCGTGACACAATGCAAGTGTTATTTTTATAATATGCATATAATTAAGAGATTGATTGTGATGTGGCCATTGTAAGACATCAGAAAAAGAAGGAAGCCATCAGTGAATGATGGAGTGACAGGAGAAAGCTGCATAGGAGATGCAAATGTTGTGCTTTAGCTTTAATAAAGGAGGTAAGATTCATTCACATAGCCAGAAAGATTCACACAGAGGCCATTATAAGAAGAGGAGACCTAAGGAAAGACACAGAGGCAGGAAAGAGAACCTAGATGAAGTGCTCAGAGATCAGCAGAGACAACAGAGGCCCACGCTGAACAGTAACAATAGGTATAGTTCTGTGTCCAAGCCAAGTCAAATGATGGAAAACCCTAAACCTGAAGACAAAGACTCAGAGACCCCCCTGTAATGGAATCCCAAACTGAAAAGCTCAGTTTAATAAAAATGACATTTTATTAAAATTAACACAAAAAGTTAGAATTAACATTCTTGCATGCTATGGCTCTCTCTTCCAAGCCAGAAAATCATAACTGCACCCAGTAGAAAATGGACAAAAGGTTTCAACTCTGATCAAAACCAGGAGGGATAATGTAGTGGTTTGAAAGAAAACAGCCCCCACAGACTCATAAGGAGTGTGCTATTAGGTGTGGCCTTGCTGGAGTAAGTGTGACTTTGTTAGAGGAGGTGTGTCACTAGGAGATGGGCTTTGAGGTCTCAGAAGCTCAAGCCAGTTCTCTTCCTCCTGCCTGCTGCTGTAGGACTCTCAGCTCCTTCTCCAGTGCCATGTCTGCCTGCATGCTGCCAAGTTTCCTGCCATGAAGATAATGGACTAAACCTCTGAAACTGTAAGCCAGACCCAATTAAATGTTTTCCTTTATAAGAGCTACATTGGTCATGGTGTCCCTTCACAGCAATAGAAACCTAACTAAAACAGAAGCCATCCATAGTGGTACACAACTATAACCTCACTTAAAATCTCAGCACTGGGGAGGCTAAGGCAGAAAGATGGAGTACTAAAGGCCAGGCTTTTAAAATAAATAAATATTAAATAAAAATGTAAAAGGCTAGAAATGTAGCTCAAGGGTACAATACTTGCTTGGTACACGGAAGGTTCTAGGCTCAATCCCTGGGCATTTCTGTTCCCAGATGTACACTCTTAAGTGTCCTTTCCACCAAGACCTCTAAGGCCTGGAAGAGGCACTGAAAAGTAGCAGGATAACAGCCCATCACTAGTGGATCTCCCTGGCCTGCGTTACATCACTTGCTAGGCCAGCCCAGACTAAGGCAGTAGTTTCCATGAGCACTGCTAGCACATGCACACATTTTATTACTTCAGCAGCATGGTGTGGCCAAAGCTTGTGAGTTCCCAGCAGATGGACTTGACTCACTTTCTGCACTAATAGTGCCAGTGTCCAGAAGGAGCAATGAATCCTTTGTTCTATCTAGAAGCAATCTACTCCAACACCAGGACTTTGTTCTACAAGAAAACTTAAGAACTGAGTTTACTTTTAACCAACAGTTTCTTCAAAACATTACTCAGGTTAGCAATTCCAAATCCTCAGTGCACCCTCTCCACTGTGTTAGCAAAATCACATCATTTTGCAATACATTACTTTGTATAAAATTCTCAGAGACTTACATATTACAAAACTTCCCCATAACAAGGAGATAAGAAAGGTACACATCTTTAATCCCAGCATTTGGGAGGCAAAGGCAGGTGGATTTCTGTGAGTCTAAGCCAAGCCTGGTCTATATAATGAGTTCCAGGCCAGACATAGCAAGACTCTACCTCAAGCAAACAAGGTGGAAAAAGTTTCCCATGGTTCAGAGCTGAAGAATTGTAAGGCACTTTAGTGCACACCTGTCCTTCAGAGGCTAAAAGCCAGCAATGACACTAACAATTGTGCATTACTAGCATTTTCACAAATTATCTCAATTAACTGAAGTCAGTACTGATTTTAAAACTTCCTCTGTGACAATGTAAACCCTCATCTAGAGCTGTGAAACCTGTGCTTGGACAAGACCCTGTTCCTAAATTTACCAGTCTTAGTAATACTACATGTATAGGATCTTATTATAAAGCTCAAATAAGATGACTATGAAAGGGCTTTGAAAATGTTGTGTATGTGAAAAATTTTAAAAACAGTGATAGCATAACATATGTCAACAGCTTGTCTATATTCTCATAAATACCAATAAGTCACTAACTGATTTTAGCAGATAAAAAATCAAAAGATGAAGAGTGAGTTAGCAATGTTTCTAGGGGGATACAGCAGAAGTGCAGAGCTATACTGGAGCCCAAATCTGAATCTAAAGCCTTTTTACTACTATCAAATTGTCTTGTCAGGTGTCAGTATGTGTGTGTATGTGTGTGTGTTCCTATGTCTGTGTGTATATATATATTTATGTATGTGTGTATTTATGCTTCAGTGTGTTTGCATCTTATGTGTAACTGTGTAGTTATTTTCTGCAGCTACACATCGGTGCTACACATCAGTGCTATGTAGCTGCATTCAACCCTTGCACCTAGTGAATACAACGCCAACAAGAACTCCAATTCGTAAGTGAACTCACAAGTCTGTAAGCACCATAGAATCGACATTATCCATGTTGACAGGTGACCCTTTATTCCTAGCCCATGTTGGCACATGAAGACGTTAATCTTCAAAAGTTTGTGAAAACACAAAGTCTAATTCTGAACTGGCATGGTAGTACTAGCTGTAATCCCAGCATACTTCAGAAATAGAGACAGGAGATTCAGGAGCTCAAAGTCATCATCAGCTACACAGCCAGTCTAGGCAGAGAACCCGTCTTCAAATCCATTAGCTAATTAATTTCAAAACTATAAGCTGGAATGGTAGTATCAGGGTTATACAGTAAGACCTTGAACAAAACAAACAAACATAAGGACAAAGCCCAACCCTCCCATGAGGGGAGAGACCCTCTTTGTCCTCAGCACTTATCACCATTTCATAATAACTTGTTCGTGTGTACATTTGCCTTACTAGATATGGGAAACCAGGGCAGGAGCCAGACCTCATTCATAATCCAGTATCTCCAGTGCCCCACACTAACACCAGCAATAGAGATTTAATAGTCATTTGATGAGGGGGGCGTTCTCGTGGTCGCTGCCCACTCTGAAATGTTAGCATCTAGTTATCTAAGCCTTCTTGTTTATCAGCCAGCTATCTGAAACAGACTTTGGGATACTTGGGCATTTAAGTCCATGCCAAATCTTCTAGCCCTGCCAAAACTATGCGCACTACCAACACAGGGTAACAATTGCCAAGCAGTTCTGCAAAATCCTGACAAGCATTCCTAATAAAGTCGCTTGATACGCAGCTCTCCTCAGTCCACACTGCAAACGCATCACTTGCCCATGGGGCAATGAATGCAGCCCAGAATGACAAGACTCCCCTTCTCTATGGAAATCCTACTTTAATTTGCATGATAATTCTTCAAATTATTACAGCAAGGGTGCAACTAATTCGGGGGCCTAGAATCAAGGTCTAGAAGCCAACAGCAATATCAATTTCCCTCATTTCTCTCCAAAACACTATTATTATATATAATTATTTATTCATTTATTTTGGTCTTTGAAACAGAGTTTCACTGTGTAACAGCTCTGGCTGTCCTAAAATTCCCTCTGCAGACCAGGCTGGCCTCAAACTCACAAAGATCCACCTGCCTGGGCCTCCCAAGTGCTAGGATTAAAGGCATGCGCCACCACCATTGCCCAGTAGCTTTTTATCTTGAGATTTGGTCTCACTATGTATTCTTTGGCTAGTCTCTTGACTCAATGATTTACCGGCCTCTACCTCCCAGGTGCTGGAATTAAAGGCATGAATGCAAAAACTTTTAAGATTATTGTTTATATGTATGTGTGTGCCTGCATGAATTATGTGTGCTAGATCTGTGCCTGGTACACAAGGACACCAAAAGAAGCTTGTCAGATCCCTGGAACTGAAGTTGCAAAAGGTCATTTATGTCCTTAAGCTGCTACACTAGTGCTGGGAACTAAATCCTGGTCCTCTACAAGATAAGTACAAGTTCTTCTCTGCAGAACCATCTCTCCAACCTCAAGGGTTTTTTTTTTGTTGTTGTTGTTGTTGCTTCTTTCTTTAAGACTGATAGGATGGGGACTGGAGAGATTGCTCAGCAGTTAAGAGCACCTGTTGCTCTTGTAGAGACCTAGGTTCAATTCCCAGCACCCATATGGTGGCTCCCAACTATCCATAACTGCAGTTCCAGGGGCTCCAACGCCCTCTTCTGATGTCCTCCGGCATCAGGTACACATGTGATGCACAGCCATACATGCAAGCAAAACACTCATACACAAAAAATAAATGAATTAAAAATAAGTGACTTCACCAGGCACAGTGGCACACATCTGTAATCCTAGCACTCTGCTAGGCAGAATCAGGCCGATCTCTGTGAGTTTGAGACCAACCTGGTCTACAAAGCCAGTCCAGAACAGCCA